CACTTTAACAGCCCGTAATTTATTGCTACTCAGAGAGAAGCCAAAACAAACAGTTAAATTTAACGTTCTTTGTGATCTCCCAAGAACCACATCAATACTACAGGATAGAGCGTGACAGGGCTAACATCTAAAACAACTTTTAGCCCAAAAAAAGACAATGTAGGATGACAAAAAGTAGAGGAAGCTGGAGAATGAAAGCAAGAGCTGAAAGCAACTTCACACTTAATTTCATTTGAATGTTTAATGACTTTTCCTTCACCATGTCGAATTCTAGCTGTGATAAGACTCTAATGAAGGTAAAATGTGCTGCGTACGAAACACTGTATCCAGCTAAGAAATTGATTTTTTAATTTAATTTTATTTATTTTTAAGATAAGGGTCTACTGACTTGTTTTGAAAACTAAAAACTTTCTGTAGTTGACCAGCTTAGAATGCAAACTGCAAAGCCTGTCCTTCAGACAGCATAAAAAAAAGAAAAAAAGTTATGCACTACGCTAAGCACACCGAAAATGCAGAATTAAATGCTGGAAGATGGCAAAAGAGCAGATATGCTGGAAAATGAGCATGTGAAGGAATGCTTTACTACTAATACACCATCTACAGATTTGTACATGGCAGCTGCCATACGAAGTCAGCACTTAGCAGTCACCACCCTTTTTGTCTGAATGTCACTTATTTTTTTTTCTCTGTGCAAAGTGGCATTCATTCAGCAGGCACAGAAGGGTGTTTACTTCTGGCAAACAGTAGTTCCAGTAATTAACACAGTATGCAAACTACTGTAAAAATTTAGTGTACAGATCTATACACACAGACACACAAAGTACGTTACATTTTCCACTGAAACCAAAAGTAAACACCGTGAAATATTTAGAAGCCAAAGCATGATTTTAGATGTCTAAATGACTGGTTTGCTCCTATCAGGACGTAATTATTCAAAGGAATAGAGGTTTGTAAGTACTTTACAAAAAAGCAAGAACGATGGGTAAAGGACCTCACCATAGCCCCCTCCCCCCCCAAATCCCCAACATTTTTTAAAACCCAGATTATTTAAGACTATTCTATTTTTCATCCTGATTTAAAGTCTTTAAGAAATCACTTAAACCATGATGCAGAAGACCTAGGAGCGAAGTATTAATAGTGGCTCCTCACCTTGAGGTGTCAGTTCTGCCACTGGCTTCGCCTTCACTTGGATCCCTCAAAACAAAGTTAAGGTTGAGATTCAATGATAAAGGTGAAAAATAAAAGTTAAGAAAAACCTACATCTAGTACAATGTTAAATAGCTACTGAAGAGAAAAAAAATCAGTGTAATAACGTCAAATCTAGTATTGTTTAATAGTATTTCTTCACATCTGTGATTTTTATTTCCATTTATGACACCTTCCCTTCTTTCAGCTCTGAGACGTAATTATTACTTTTTTATTTTTTAATCTCATGTTAAAATGAACACGTTGCTCTCAGCCTAGTGCAGACAGAGCGGATTCCCCATGTAATTCCAGCAAGCACGGAACAGCAGCGGTCAGTTGAGGTGGGCTGGGGAGCTCAGCTTGGCACCCTATGGGCCAGGGCTTCCTGTGCTGACAGCACTTCGGTGCAGGCATGCCCACCCTTAGAGGACTCGTGTCATTAAGGACAAGACGTGCCTAAGAATCTGCATGGCCACGTGTTTGGAGCCCAGTTCAGAAAGGTTCCTTCAACATCCGCTCAACTTTAAGCATGTCAGCTGTTACACTGACTTCAGTAAGGCTATTGGTGAGCTGGAAGTTGACCGGGTTTTTTTTCTCTACTTTGTTAAATTAGAATTGAACTTCATTAAGGAGACATTCTGTAGTCTGAAGCAGCTGGCAGATACATTCACAGACCATATGAGCCACCTAGTTTATACTGCTGCAGTGCATACATTTAAAGGACACAATTTTAATTAACTGATTCAAGTAATATCTTCAAAACAAATACTTTAGGAACCACTATCAGAGAAGTATCATTTGTTATAAAACACTGATAGAAAATACTTTGATATCCTACACATAAAACATTCTCATTATGCATTTATTTTTATATACTTACCAAAAAAACATTTGCCAAAAGTTAAAAAAAATATATATAATAATCTTTTGTGATACCTTCTGATCAAAGTATGCTTTAAATCATTATTTCCTCAACAGTACAGAAGTTAAAGGCATGCAACTTACATGATGCCAACTGAAAGAACTGGAAAAAACAAACCCAACTATGTAATCCCAGCCATTGTAAGTCTCAAACCCAAAATTTAAAAACAAAGTACTCTGAGGTCTTCACTACAAGCAAATGTATTTCTCATTTTCATTTTTCACAGTATAAAATAATAGCAAATTATATTAAAAGTGCTATAGAAAAATGTTTGTTTCAAAAGACAACACAGTTTATAACATGTTCATTCTAACCATGTGTTTTACAACAGTATTACTGTAGCTTAACATAACAGATATATTAAACCTTCCATGTCTCTCTTTAAAACGAGGAAATTCCAGGTACTATTCCTCATAACAAAACCCTGAGCTACAACAAAAGCCAGCCTGTGCTCAAGAAACTGACCAGTTACTTAGCAGAAAATACCTTTCTTTCTGTGTAGTGCTGGACATACTGATAATGGGGAATCTCTCATTTTCAGGTTTCTGAAACAGGAAAATGATTCACGCACTATTTCTTTCCCTCCCCTCCTCGATATCACAGACACACACTGACACACTTTCCGCAGACCAGGTGAAGTCACTTTTACAAGGAACACCTTTGCATTCCAGGCTTTCACTGCTCCTTTGCAATATCACCTTCAATAATTCATTATCTTGTACTTCTGAATGTGCAACTACTAGCTTAAACTAACTCTGAATTTATCCTTCTTCTATGTACAAACGGTAGAATTCAGTACATAACAGTATGAATCTGCAAAGAAAACAATAGTTTCCAAAATGTAATTCTACTGTGAAATTGACAGTAGTGTAGTAAGAACACATTCATAAATAGACTAATGCCTGTTAAACAGAGGAAAAACTGGAAAGTCTCTTTTTGAGAAAGCTACTGTGACTGCTGTGTAAACAGTCACATGAAAATGGAGCATTTGAAAATCTTCCCCAGCACCTTTCCTCACAGCAATATTGCTGTTAGCATCACCACAGGGGCGAATGCAGTTCCAGGAAACTGCTGCACGTGTCCATTCTCTTCTTTCAGAATCCTCAACTTAGTTTTAAAGGCTTCTCATTACACTGTAACAGCATGACATGAGGGGCTGCATAACACTGAAATATTACTATTTCCAGACACGTGACTTCTCCCCTCTTCTAAACTTCTCGTTTGTTCACAGAAGTAGAATTCCCTGAAATAATCTGTAAGCACTGATTCCACCTAAGCACAGTAATACAATTGTGAATACAGTCCTTGCAGCAAACTACACCCAGACTTGGTACTTAATCATGAAGTATTGTTAATAATAAATAATGACTCATTTAAGCCACCGTTTAAGCTCATTTCACTTTAACTTAGAAGTAGCACCTTTATCTTTCAGCTATAAAGCATGAACAAGAAAACTGAGCAGCATTCTCTTGCTCTTTCACAATAAAGGAACAGGAGAATAGCTGGTCAAACAGGAACGTTACTGTATACACAAGTAAAACAAGGCAGGTTCTGAAAGGAACACATAAAACAGCATTCTAACTGAATTTACATACATTGCAGGCTGTTGAACTGGAAATTCTCAATGACTTTGCAGTTATAGCCCTAGCTATAGGCTGGGCACTTAGAAATTGAGGTACTAACCTGCGAACAAACTTGGAAGTTATCTTGCTTATTATACCAGTTGATGTCCCTCTTCTAGCATGTGCAAAAGCACCGGTTTCATGTGATGGTGAGGCAGGTGGTCCATTGTAAGTGGCATTACGCCGCTCCCTTAGCTGCTCACCATGGAAAGTGCTTCGACTTGAACTCCCCCGAGGAAAGCGGGTTCGGTCTGGAGTGGTAGTGCTAATACTATGAGCAGACGGGGAAGCAGCAGGCACTCTTTGAGTTGCACTGCTGGGAAAACAGAAGCATAAATAAAGAGAAAGACTGTGCTAAAAACCCTCCTACATGACAACCATTTCTCAATGATAGGAAAAATCTCCACTCAATTTTTCTTTCTTTTTTTAAACTTGAATCTGCTACTGATTGAGTTTCAATGATTCATGCTTGGAAACAAATCAAGAGAGATTTTCAGCGTAGAACCAACTACCTCAGGTATTAAGAGCAGTTTAAAAAGAAAACATACACAAATAATAGGACAAAGGAGAGAGAGAAAAGCCTTAGTGAGATATGAAAGTTTTTCCCAGCCCTCTTCCTGAAAGAAAAAAAGCGTTAATCAAAACCTTCAACATGTAAGTATTCCAAGAGCTTAAGTATTTCTGAAATAGCCAGATGTCACAAATGTATAAAGTTATTTAGGCAATTAATAGTGGGAACAGCTACCTTATGGTGCCTTCAGACAGAAAGAAACTTAGTAATCTCCAAAACATGACAGTATTTCACATGAACTTACGGCAGCCTGTGTTGTATGGCCCTGTCTAAATTAGTTACACTTAGATCTAGCAGTTTTGCAGAAGCTTCCAGAGGGAGGCAGTCAAGGAACTTCTTTAACTTTACATAAAGGCATCATGAATGATATGAGTTTTTAAGTCACCTCTAAACACCCATATTGCTTGAGTGAGCTACTGCTTCAGAACAGAATGTAACGTGACAGTTTAAAATTGAGTACAAACATATCAAAGTACACGAACTGCAGAACATCATTTCTAAAGCATTAAAGAAATAATAAGCAATCTATTACCTTGGTCGGTAACCTTCAGTGCCATCTCTGATGGTTGGCAGTGTGACTTTTATAGGGTGACCAGAGGCAGACATAGACTTCTGATGTCGAGGCCGTGTTGACACAGCAGAAGCTACTGCAGAACCTGCAGAAGATGTGCTACTTGCAGACATTTCTGTTAGGCTTTTGTCATGGCAGCAAGGCAGGAGGGACAAAGAAATGAAAAGGAAAAAAGAAAGTTAGTGTAAAACCCTGCAAAACGGAATACAGCAAGTCATATTTTCTTTTGGAATGTAGCAAGCACTGTTAAAATAATCAGAAGACAGAGTGATGAGGCTGCCTCCTGCTGCTGAAGTAAAGGATATGTAATTGAGGGTAAGTCATTAACAGTGAATACTCTTCAGTTATAATTCAAACACCTAAAACTGAGAACATTTTTTGCCACATTGTTACCTAGCCTTTTAAAAACACATTCACTCCAAGCTGTACTTCTCCTTCAGACTTCTGTGTAGTGCATTAAAGGCAAGTCAGCTTCAAGAGAAAGCCCAACTTACAGAAGAGGTCAATTCAGAGTGCTCAGTCAGCAGCCTGAAAGCAGTTCTCAATTATTCCCACCCTTCATCACTTAACTGCCAAAAAGTTGTCAAACTTGAATTTTCTGCAAGTGTTTAAAACATCCCTGGGAGAGGAAAAATTCCCTTTGATTCTTGCACCATTAAACAGAGGCGTTACAGCTATGTGGAACAATTAAAGACAACAGAAAATAGGTGGCCTCACGTCCGTAGTTCTCCGGCTTTAACTTCTATTGTGGTAACACCTCAAAAAGCCATGCACATGAGGAACTGCTTGCATCTTATTGTGCAGCTACTGCACTTATCAAGCAAGTTTGTACTTGTTTCTGAAAAATATATTTGATACCCTAAAGAATGCCAACACACCATAAAACACTTCTGACAATGACAGCATTGCAATTCGAAAGATCTTCTGGTGATCAGTACCTGGAGCTGCCATGCTGGGTGTTTCCCAATAGGTGAAATCCCTACAGACCAAACTCATGACAACCAAAACCCCCCAAATCTACCTCTAAGTAAGAACTGGAAGTGAAATAAAACATAGGAAGCTATAGAAGTTCACTCAGGAGATGCGGACAGCATTTAAACACCTGGTCATGACCCCAGTAAGAAGGAAACTTCTTGCCCTGCAGCTGCAGAGTCCCTGAGGCATGGGAAGGCTCCTCCCAGGCCTCACAGAGCAGCACCACAGCAGCTCTGAACAGAACAGGCTGCTCTGCTTCAAGCAAAGTATTTGCCTTCTGCATCAGCTCTCTCTCAAGCCAATGCTAGACTGATACAGCTCCTTCCACCCGTACTTTTTATTTCTGCTTCAACTAAGTAGCAAAAAAGGCAAGGTAGTAGAAGTGATATTATGTCATGAATTTTTAAAAACAATGTCAGGTAACTTAGGCCAAAATACAGCTTTGCCTCCATAAGGATAAGCAAAATTACATTAATTATGTATTAGCAACAGCAGTCCCAAAGTGAAATAATATCTGTAGCAAAGTAAAGATTTCAGAATCTGACTAATGTGTTGATGGCACGAGATGTTCAGCTACACCAAACACAAACTGAACTGCAACATTCTTCTTCGTTCTTCATGAAGAACTGAGCACGGTTATTGCACTCATGAAGAGGAATCAAGACTTGGCTGTTTTTCAATCCTACAGAAATAATTAAAAAAGAACTATAAAATGAAGAACTTCAGAAGAGTCACTTCTCATTAAAGTGGTGTTGGAGTTTACATCTATTAAAGCGAAAGTTAATATTTGTGAGACTAGGATATATTTGAATACAGATTGTAACTCTACATCTAAACAAGGTTTGTTTTGTTGTTTTTTTTTTAAAGATGGTTTAAACCGTTGTTTCAACATATGTTAAGGTGTACACAAAAATTTAGAAAGGCCTTTTGGAAAATCCCATCCAATAATTAGAAATCAATTAATTAGCTTTATGGCTTTTTAAGCAATTCCTTCTTTAAGCAATTTAAATAACAGCAAGTGGTGTCAACTTCCTCATGTTTCACAGCCTGTCATCTTAATGCAGATCAACAGCCCTGTATTTTTTATTTTTCAGCCAGATACAAGGGGTAAATAATGCAGTAATATCAAAGATAAACAAAATCTGTGTTTTTTAACAAGTCATACGTTAGTATTTGACAAAGCACACTGAATAATTGTGATCAGCATCCTGCATACAGACATAAATTGGTTATAAATACTGTCAGAATATTTCTTGGACCAAACAGAGACATCAAAAAGCACTAACAAGTCTGAATTTTTAAATATTTGAGTAATTATGAAGGGATTTGAAAGATGATCCAGAAGAAGAGGAAAAGGCAGATCTACAACTTTGTATTTCATCGTAAATATTGAAGCTGCGTCGGACGAGAAGATAAAAACACACAGTAAAACTTTACTTCTCACACCGTGCTTCATAATTGTATTGATTGTCTCATAACCCACTTCTGTGCCTCCAGTCTGTGTACCCAAATTAACACACAAGAGGGAATACCTGTTGTCCTTCCCATTCTGTATTGCAGAATAGCGATCTGAAGAACGCTCACAAACATAAGTGTTCCTTCTTGTCATTCCACTTCCAGAAAATACATTGTTCTAGAAGAAAAAATTAAAGTATTTCATTTAATTTCAGTCTTATCTTCTATGCTTTATGTTATGTACAAAAAGCAAACCTGGGAAATCAAAACAGAATTTCCACCATTCTAAATGCCTTAATGAACTTAATACGCTAACACAAATCAGTTACATCACTAGATACTTTTATCCCCCTCGATACTTCATCCACCATCTCTTTACTGTACCATTTAACATTCATTAAGAGAAAACAAAGAAAATTAATTTTACTAAATATTACTACCCAATTTCTATATAACACACTGCTGAATTATTTGACTTTGGGATCAAGAGCTGAAACAGCAAACTGGAACCTGCCCAAGAGCACATACGTCTGACCGGCTTAAAGGTCCTGGCACAGAATAAGTTGCTAACTAGGGCTCTGGCTTGAAGCTTGCCTCCCTAATCAAAAGGGTTTTAAAGAAAAAAATGAAAATATTGTCGATCTCTGTCAGTCAAACCTCAGGTTATGATGGAGAACAGAGAATAATTTGACCGTGAGAATTTATAGTAAGACGGCAGAAGTGCCTTGTAGCCATCATGGGACCTTATCTCTTTCTGTTACTAATTTTAGTTCAAACACATTTCATTGAATACCTACAAACATTCTCATCCTCCTCCTGCCAAGCACAAAATTGTGTATAATGAAAGTTTCCTCGATTTCATATGCACTAAGCTCAGCTCTGCAAGACCTACTGTTTACGCTCTCCTTATTTACAGCTTTTCTGCTTAATATCTCTCTGCAGAAACTACTGAATAAACTGTTTCAAACCACTTTTGTAAGGAAGATTAACAACAGTAAATATTTTTTGAAATTAAACTCTCAGAAGTTAGACTAATATGACTGAAGATGTTAAATGTGCCATAGTGTAAGGACATAAGGTTTGGATTTTGGGATTTTGGGTGGTGCTGTGTGCAGCCAATGGTTGGACTCAGTGATCCTTATGGGTCCCTTCCAACTTGGGATATTCTGAGATATCAACAAGTACACACAAGGGAACAAAAGGGTTATTCCCCCTCACCTCATCCCATTTCTCAAGTCAAAAATAGAGCAGCTTCAGAAAGATAAACAGACAGAGAAACAGATGGAGAGACATTTCATGAGGGATATTACAAAATAACATTCAGATGAATCCTCTGATTCAGGAAGACCTTTGACTTCTTTGTAGATAACACAAGCATTAGAAAACAGGGAAAGCATGAAAAACCAAGGACAGAGCACTCTGTATTGGCTCTGATCTCACATTCTTTCCTTAAGTGTCCAATATTTGCCTTCACAAACCCTCAGTTCGCCCCAGTGCAGATATTCTCATGCTTACTACTTACTACATTAGTGTTAGAAAATGAAGTTAGGGAGAAAGGGAGAGGTTTATTTTAAAAGACATTCACTGCAGCCTATTTTTGTTTGCCAGAAGAATGTGTCAGAAAAGGTATTAGTAGCATGTTTACTAACAATTATGTCTATAATAATGTTAATAGAAAAACAAATTTAACAAACCATAAGCACACACACTCACACTGGGAACTGTAGTTGATTTCTTTCTTTCTGGACCCACAAGTGGACTCGCAGCCATCTCTCCTTTGGATCCCACTGTTGTGCTGCTCAGTTTGCGTGACACATCTTTGTCCCAGTCTTCTTTCTGTTCACTTTCCACACTGTTTGCCTGAGCCCTTTTTGTGTATGACACAGTAGGAGGAATTGATGGACCAACTGTCAAATAAAAGCATTATTAGCAATGCCTAAAAATAATCTCTTGGTCAAAACAAGGTTGGTTTTGGTTTGTTTGCTTTTCCTGACTCATGGGGATTACATTTGGACTTTCTGAAGAACAACTGCAATCTCAGCACACATATCAAAGTATTAAACTGAACTCTGACATTCTAAGCTCTTCTTAAACATGCTCTCTTTATTAACAATGTGCAATTGAGAACTGTACACTGAGATTCACGTATAGGTAGGAAGTAGGAATAGTATAATCTCATTTGAACCAGTGCATTTTCTGCAATATTATTAAAAAAAGCTAGAAGAAACATCAAATTTTGACTTTTTGTACTTTTTGATGCATATATTTTCCTGAATCTAGCTTGAAAAGTATTTTTCCCTCAAAAATGCTAAGGCTATTCTTTACAAGCACATTTATATGTGGAAAATAATAATCACTGGGGGGAGGAAAGAATTGTTGAAGAGCTTTCAGGCAAATCCTTAATCAACAGGATTTTATGCTGCCTTGAAGTAAAGTCACATCAGCTGATGATGTTTCACAATATTGATGACTTTTTTTTTTTTAAATGCCACACTAACATATGGGGAGAATGGTAGTGCAAAAAAAAAAAATTAGGACAGCGTAAGATTAGACAGAGAGGAGGGCAAAACAATTTTTAAATGATTCTAGTAATTTGATAACTCTTTATGAGGAAGAAAGCTTTCATTCGATACTTTACATGTACTTTCATTTCTGATGTGACTAGTTGCACCTGAAAATGTTTCCTGAACACTTGGCAAAATTGTGAGCTCTGAGAAAAATTTCCAGTTTGGTCCTAACTCCAAATGCACTGCTAAATGTAATGGTTTGCATGTTTAAGTTTATTCAGATCAATATTTTGCCTCTACTTCCTAACAGGAAACATCCTCAAGCTCTTATTTACTGAGTCAACCAAGTAGCAAGACAAAAATTAAATGCTTAACTCGCGTTGCCCCAGATTTACCATAGGAACGTTCATACAGATAGAAGCACCACAGCGGAGCCTGACGAGATACACAACAAATGCACAGAGTGGTGGACCGGCCAGGTTCACAAAACACTGCACATTCAGGCTTAAATTGTGTGTGTTACTTTACTTGTTGGAATGTCATCCCCACCATGATCGCTGAACCGCCGTTGTTTCTGATTGGTAGATATGCTCCGTTGGACCTTCAAGTGAGCAGGAGACTGCACAGAGCTGTTGTTGAGGTCGCTGCTAGGACGAGATCTTTGACCCAAGTTGCTGCTGGATAGGGAGTCGCCTCCTTCAAACTACAAGAAACACAGTTTAGCAAAGCATAAACAGAATCCAACATTTCTGCTTTTTTTACGGCACAAGAAAGTGAAGAGCTCCAAAGAAAGGCGCTATCCTTTATAATTAAGATTACCTTCACAGTTCAGTTTTCAAGAAAGTCTTTCATCACTTAATTTTGTATGTTTTAGAAACTCGTATTTAAAGCTGAAGAGTTACAGAATGCTTAAAATGAAATTAGAATAATCTTGACAGGTGCCAAATCTGCGTTAAACATAAACCAAAGAATTTCTCCTCTTGCTTTTTTTTTTTTTTTTTTTTAATTTTAAAAGAAAACTTATAAAACGAAAACAGAGGGGCAAGTATTACTGGTTCAAGGACTCCTTATAGGATTTGAAGTGTCTTTATAAGGTATGGAGTTCTGCTACTAGTTTCGTGGTACCTAATCAGCATAAGTTGTTAAGAGCAGTGGAAAAAGAGATCTCTTTTAAGCAGCTTGAGTCAAAATTATTTTAGGTAGGTTCTTCCTATGTTCTGCTATCACAAGGAAATTCTGGTTCAGAAATTTTGTGGGAAAGCACACTCATACAGAGCTACACTATCTTAGAAATGAAGGAAGGCCAAAGAAGCACCAGGAAAGAAAAAGTCCTTCTAAAAAGAAAGCCTCTGTTCACAGCTCTTTTTCTAGAAAATTCCTGCATCCCAGGAGATCTACAGATCCAATGAGTTCTAAAACAGCCAAATTACTTCCTATCACAAACTTATTAATGGCTGTGATGAAGTGATTATAGAATAAAATATATAATAACAGTACATGAGTCAGAAAGGATGAATATATTTCTGAGAAATAAAGGATGTCACAGCTTAGAAAAACAATTCATTTAGTCAAATTCTTATGTAGTTCAGATTTAAACTGAAAAGATATATCACAGGACAGAAATAAGACTTGGCATCTAAAGTCATTCCACTTCAGATTAACAGCTAGCTTTCTTAGTTATATATATATATATAGGAATGAATATCAAGACACTACACTTAGTCTATTTCTTCATGTGGGAACTAACAAGATGCCCAAGAATATATGAATAGAATGGGAGACACATTCCTGAAGTTACCAATTCCAAATTACTATCTTGATTTATTAATTGAATTTTTCATAAAACACTGACGATCAGAATATTCAAATCAACCAGACCTAAAGGCCAATATAGAAGATGTACATTAGGTATCACTTACTTCAGGTGGTTTTCTACCTAGAAGCAAGTAAGTAGCCATGACTTCATCGTACTTTTGGTTTACTAAAGATTCGTGGATTTCTTCTCTTGAAAAACCCATTGTTACCATAATGTCTAGAAATAAAGAGAAAGAGAAATCAGATAGAATGTATATCCTTGCTTTCACTGTTGTTTTTTTTCATCTTGAAAACTCACAATGTAATTCAACACTGGCAAACAGAAGCTATGATTGCTACAGTGCCAACACAGTGCATTCTCTGACCACAGCTGATAAAGAAAACACTACTAGCATAACAAAGTCCCTTTCCTTTTGCCTTTTGAATTCTGTAATCTGATTTGTTCTTTACTGTGGATGTAGATTCATGTCATCTCTGTCACAGCAGCAGTTATGAGGAAAGCACTGTAATGAAATTTCTCATTTAAATAAGAAAACATTTCACTTGTATGATAAGTATCTTAAATGCTGTTAAAGAGTTTTGTCTGACTTACAAGATAGAACTGCCTATGAATGTAATACACAGCATTTTCCTAGAAGCCTTACCTATTCTCTTGGTGTCATTAAAGTCTGGTTCAGGCTCGGTATATGGCTTCAATTCTTCCTCTTCATGGCCAACATTCATCCACCGATCCTTCATAATTTGCTAGGAAAAGAAATGAATATTTACATACTTGATTAAATCTGTGCCAGCTGATTTGAGTAATAAACCAACTTGAAATCCAAGATAACTGGACCATTGCCCTCTCTCTCCTACCTTTCCCCAACTCATATCTTCTTACCGTATCTTCTGTTATCTTTCACATTCTTTTTTTTCCTCATCAATTAATTACCCGTGCTGTTTATTTACCCTCTGCAATACAAGAAACCAGCTGAACCATCAGAAAAACTACTGGGATGCACTTCCAACAAACACAAGTCTTCCATTTTGTACTTTTCACTTCCATCAGCCTCATCTTCTTGTGCTGAAGGATAGACACACACGCCCTAATCTTAGTTACGGTTCCTGGATGCTACTACAAAACAGACTGTACCACAATAAATAACTCCTTCAAATAATAACAAAGTAGGAAACTAAGGAATAATACAGACGTGTGTCTATACTTCCCAGAATAATTCAAGACCCTGATCCAAACTGTCATTTTCTTCCTATGCATCTTCCCACTGCAATGGAACTAAAGACGCCACAGTTCAGCTGGAGGGAAAAATGCCTCTTAACTCTGTCCATGCCACACAGGCATTAACTTTAAAAACTTCTCCTGCATTCTTTGAAAATAATTTCCTTCTGCTGTGGCTTGGACCCCTTGTATGCCTGCAGCATCCATCAGCTGGAACACCTAACCATCACTGCAATTTCTCCTTAAGGACATATTCATCATCTTTTTATAAAGCAGCTAAAACCAATTTTTCTCCCACAGCTTGAGGCACACATGCCTCTTCTGGGGACAATACTAATATTGCTTGCTAGATTGACAGAATTGTGAAACAAGTGCCAATAAGTCTAGTTTCCCACAGACTCCAAATATGCCTTGCAAACATCAAATTAAGTTATCTCTAGCATAGAGCAAAAGACTCAATTTTCCATTAATATTATCAAATTCTTTCTATGCAGTGCTGCTGCCAAATTAAAGACACAAATAGCTGTATCCTTACAAGTGCAATACAAAACTTCATACTGGAACCTATTAACAATTTGCTGACAGTAAGACTTAAAGATTTATTCAAAGTTCTGCCACATAATTGATTTTATGGCTTTTGTGGGTGGCTGGGGTGGGGGGAAGAATTCTCAACATCTCTATACTGCATTTCTGGCACACAAATCAAGAGCTTACTTAGTGATAGATCCTGGTTATTTATTTGTAGCCTTGTAATAACATGATCGACTCTCAAAGGAGTACTGTACAACATCTGCATTTTTAAAATTATAATACATTGCTCATTAAATATTTTACTAAACAGAGGATCAGACAGTCTGTTACTGTATGACTCTTAAAAAAGGTTCTTACAAGCATTCTGAAATGACACAAATAATCTTACTCAAGGATCAATATTACATCTGTGAAAGTCAGCTGATTACAGAACAGCAGCCTCGGTCAGGGTTATTTAAAGATCTGATTATCATCAACCCAAGCTGTATTTCAACCAAATAAAAATTATTGAAGTTTCCATTGAATTTCAAGGCTATGTAATACAAATCTTGCCTGACTCAAGGTCTGTTTTTTTCTCAAAATGATGTGCTTTATTACTGCTTGTAAACACAGCCCTCCTTCGTGGGAATTTCAGTTTTGCTTTGCAAAGAGCTTAAGGATGGTGGTGGAGCAGGGGATTTCTTGAAAACCTGACAGAGCTCCACATAACTTCCAATACTGCATTCTTTCTCCATCTCTTCCTGGAAGGTTTATAGTTTTACAAAAATGTTCTCTTGCTTCTCAAGTGTTTTTTCTCTGCTGCAACCAAGTCATCTACACACATCTGAATAAAAGTTTACTTGATTCTTACCAGAGTAAGAGTGGTAAAGCTAACATATGCAGCTCTGATGCTGTGTCAGCCTCAGCTCTGCTGTGAATTCACCAGTGAGCAGTAAAGAACTTCTCCAATATCCAACCCTACTGGATGGTCTGGGAAAAGCATGCATGGGAACCATGAGTGCATGTATGTCTAGGGTTGATCAAGTAGCTGCAAGACAGCACAAGGAAAAACCCTCTCCCCCAGGACAACATTATCTTTCTGCCTTTCAAAAGCTTCTACTAAATATGTACTTCTAATTCTAGTTACGTATTTTTAGAAGTGCTCACACAAATTTAACAGCTATTTATTTCCAGAGCCCAACTACTAAATACATACTCCAAATGTAATTTTAGGAACACCCATTTAAAATAAGTTTGTACTGCCTCTCCCCCTTCATTAGTGTCCTGACTACTGCCCATACCATCACTGTTTTAGTACTGACTCAAAACACCCCTGTCCCATGTAATATTTATTTCCATACAACCTGACTACTATGCAGCTCCCTGTGAGGCTGCTATGCAACACCTCTCTCCAAGACAAAAAGGAATTTTAAAAGAACTGGAAAATGCCACAATATTTGAATGAAAATGAAAGTACATCTGAAGAGTAACTGCAACTGCTGAAAATCCAGAGAAAAGTAAGATAAAATGGGAATGTATTTCCTAAAACTGAAACATGACATTGTGAGGAAAGATGAGCAATCTTCCAACGTCTTGTGTGGTGGTGAAGCTCTTATCACAATGTCTTCCAGATGAGAATGGATACAACACAATTAATTAGTGAATATCCAAATAGAAGTCATCACTCACTGCTCTCTTCTGTACAGATTATATTCAAGTTAAAACTACTTGTATTAAATCACAAAACAGAATCAGCTTGAAAGAAGCTGCATGCAGACACAGCTCAGCAAATGCATGCTTCCTTGCACAGGTTGCACCCATACCAGGGGGCAGAAGTCACACCAACACAGATACAAAGCTGCTTAAATGGGATTTCATCTCTGGAATTCTATCCACTGCTGCACAATCATGCACAGAAAGATAAAGCAAAGGTCACTGGCGATTAACTCACGCAAATACTATTTTCAAAGCATGTATTTATTTTCTGTTCTACTTTCATCTCTACAGTAAGCAGGTGTTACTTTAAAAACACTTATGGTATTGCTTGCTACTGTTATTCCTTTTTTTTTTCCCTGAAGAATTCCTCAAAGATGAAGATATTTATGATCTTGTCCAGCTTTCACCATGTTTTGAATCTATTATCTGATCCAAACAAGTGGGAGCATTTTGCACATTGAAATGTTCTTAGATGACAGTCTTCAGTAGTTGCAATTCACTAACATCTTCTACTCAAGCTGCTTTGTTTCTGGGATGTTTCCCAGGGTTTTGCTTTGGGGAGTGGGGTGGGTTGTTTATTTGTTTTCAGTAAGACTTTTGGTCCCCCTAAAACAGGAGATACCTATCATGGAAATTAAAAGAAGGCTTAAGCAATGACTATATTTTGCTTGTTCTTAATCTAAATTAATCACAGAATCATAAAATAGCTTGGGTTGGAAGCGACCTCAAAGATCATCAACCTTCAACCGCCCTGCTGCAAGCAGGGCTGCCAACCTCCATATCTCATAGCAGACCACAGGCTGTCCAGGGCCCCATCCAACCCGGACTTGAACACTTCCAGGGACGAAGCATCCACAACCTCTCTGGGCAACCTGTGCCAGCACCACACCACTCTCTTGGTAAAGAACTTTCCCAGTATCCAACCTAAATCTTCCCTCCTTCAACTTAAAACCATTTCCCCTTGTTCTGCCATTATCTACCTTTGTAAAGAGTTGACTCCCCTGCCTGTAGGCTCCCTTCAGGTACCAGAAAGCTGCAATGCGGTAACCCCACAGCCTTCTCTTCTCCAGGCTAAGCAAGCCCAGCTCCCTCAGCTGAGATAATACTTATCATTTATTTATTTATTTTAAAGGAAAAAGGTATAATTACTTACTTCCAAGCTGCCTCGTTTTATTGGATTCAGTACTAGTAGCTTCTTAAGTAGATTTTCACAGTCTGTGGACATATAGAACGGAATACGATACTTCCCCCTCAGTACTCGCTCCCTCAATTCCTTTAAAATAAATTTTTAAAAGATGAACCTACAAATGACACAGAAAACTTAAAGAAGAAAAGCCTAGATTTCATATTATAAGCCTACCTTTAGATTCTGACCATCAAATGGCAACGATCCGCTTACTAGTGTGTACAATATCACTCCAAGACTCCACACATCCACTTCAGGACCATCGTATTTCTTTCCTTGGAAAAGTTCAGGAGCAGCATAAGGTGGGCTTCCACAAAACGTGTCCAGTTTATTACCAACTGTAAATTCATTACTAAACCCAAAGTCTGCAATTTTAATGTTCATATCTGAATCAAGTAGAAGGTTTTCTGCCTAAGAGAAAAATAAAAGAAGGACAAGCTGGGTAGAAGACCAATATAGCACAGCATTTAACACATCATTTAACAAATGAAAAATTCTTTCATCTTCTGCATCTTTCTTGCATTAAGAAAGGAACTAATCCCCCTTAATGTATGACTAAGATTGAAAATTGACTGTATTTAGTTAGGAAAATAGAACTGCTAAGTGTCAGATCAAAGCATCTGGGCTTCTCAAAACAGCAGTTTCAGGTTTTGACGGTTTTCTGACACCATGGAGCATACACTGAATCCCAAACATTCATCTTCCATTTGGTGGGGTAGATGTTAGAAGGCACTCAAGACTTGAAAAGCCATGTGTCCTACCTTAGCAACCTGCACCAAAAAATTCTCCCCACCTTATTGCTAGTGTTTTGCTTTAGCAGTAACAACATTAACACTCAATTCTTACACTGTATGAAAAATGGAGTATTATACATCTCAGTGTTAGTGGGCATTCGACTACGACTGTGTGAATAGAATGCATTACAAATATGCAGAATCAAGTATTCGGGAACCCAAAGAGTCAGTGACAGTATTTTATACCTTAACATCATAGGTAGGGCAAAAGATAAAAAGAATATGGTTAGAGAAATTTTCATATGCTACTGGAAAAGAATAAAGTGCATTTCCTAAAACAAGGATGCTATGCATTGTGTGCAGGAGAACCGCAGTGTTTACTCATCTGTGTCCAGGCTCCTGATGGACACATCATCAGCACTACTTCCCAGAAACTAGTAAGTGCAGGAATCTCTTTTTTTAACAGGTCAGGCATTTGCCAAAGTGCGATGTTCTCTTAACTGCCAAATGTCAGCTTTATAGCTAACACTGAATTCTCTCATCAGATGCTGTGCTCAGTTGAGTCCTCTTCGAAACAGATCAATAACTGTTCTTTCCTTCCACTTGGAGAAGGAAACAAACGATCAGAAAAACCAGCACCACGCATCTCTTGGATTAGGATCACTGAACTTGTTTACTTTGCTAACAGCAGTAAATACGTGTTCTCTCCTTCCTCCTCCCCCTCATCGGCTTTACTTTTAATAATTTCATCGCATTCAATGACTAGGAAAGGAGTCTACCAATATATCAAACCAATAGCTGGGGGACAGAATTTAGCCTTTGTCAGGAACAAAATATAGCCCATTTTCACTAACTTATTTTCCTGGAAAATATTTTATTTTCCCAATTCATGACCTGTAATCTCAGCTGGTTCCAGCTGATGTGCCTGCAGACACACTCTGAAATATTTTCCAGATTTGACAGCCTTCTACATTACTGCACAAAGACTTCATTTTCCTTGTGGTGAAAACATTACTGTCAGTGCAGCTGCTCAGCGATTACAATAGTTCTCCTAGTTCAACAGTACACAGCTACCCTAAGACTCTGCACTTTTAGGTTTCTTATTCAGACAAAACCACTAAAAAACAACAGCCCACCTATTCTCTTTCTCCTCCTCTTCCCCCCCTCCACACACACACACACACTTCTAATACGCCAAATAACAAGACTATAATCTTTATGGCTAGATATTCAGATCAGAAAGCATTAACAGTCACTGGAAGAGTATGATAAGACTTGTGCATCATATTGTGAGCACAAAGCTGGATTCAGTTATAACCCTTTCTACTCAAGCTTTTTAGTTTCACAGAAGCAAATCAATGGGAGGCAGTTTAAGTAGCAGTGGGCCTTACACTGTCCCCCTTTTTCCAGAATACACTGGACTCACTTGCACCTTACATGCCTCTTCCTACTTGAGTCAGAAGTAACTTATATATCATAGCTTACCCTTATTCCTCTTAAAAAAATACAAAAGCTCATCAAATCCCCACTGTAATACTAGACCTCTGTTTTAAGGTGCTAATGAAGTGAATTGGTCAGCCATGCCCATAACTTGGAGAAAACTATCAGAAGCAGATGTGAACGCAGACAACTTTACAAATTGTCTCTTCCTCCTTTTTCTCACTTAAAACTTTGTGTGGAGCTGGAGAGATGACAGACAATGTTTGGAAAGGAGAGAGGAAGTGAGAACACTTCCTCATAACCATACATTTAGTCCTTTTCGCTCTAGGTTATGCATTTTCCATTGGCTAAGCTGACTGGTTCTCAATCACACTTCATGCTGAACATTTCAAATGAGCCTAGCGTAACTCTATGTAAGAGAAAACATAGAGAGGAAAGTAAACTAATGCATGATTTTGGAGTCTTTCTGTCTATCTTGAAACAAGGAAAAAGAACAGCAGCAGAGCACTTACAACAGGTGTTAAAAGGGATACCATGCAAATGCCACAGAGCAGTTTTCCATAGTCTTCTGAGTTACATGAAGAATCAAAAACTCATTAAGGTTGGAAAAGATCCCTAAAACCATCATGTCCAGCTGTCAACCCATGTTCATTCACTACATCCACGTGTTTCTTGAACACCTCTAGGGATGATGACTCTACTGCCTGGGCAGCCTGTGCCAATGCCTTACCACTCTAACAATTTTTTCCTAATATCCAACCCGAACCTCCCCTTGGCACAACTTAAGGCCACTACCTCTTGTTCTACCGCTGTTACCCAAAAGAAGCTGACCCCCACCTTGCCACTGTCTCCTTTCAGATAGTTGTATAGAGCAGTAGTGTCTCTCCTAAGCCTCCTTTTCTCCAAAATGAACAATCCCAGTTTCACTAGCCATCCCCCATAAGACTTGTGCTTCAGACCTTTCATCAATTTCACTGCCCTTTTCTGGGCACGCTTCAGGGCCAAAGAAGCGTATGCTTGCTAAGCAGCTAAGAAGGGAATTAAGGGTCAAGGCTGCAAAGGGCTCTAGGAGAAAGAGCAAGATGCAGGATGCTAAATAAATACAGCAAGAGTCAATTATGTAGCTGTGCAGATCAAGCAAGTGCAAGGTAAGGGTAAGGAGACAGACAGCTCTCTCTTCTCTCCCACTCTCAGCCTCATGTACTTAAAAGGAGACCAATGAAGGGAGCTCTTCAGTTGAGCCAACAGGCACTGCAGATTCCGCCTTCTAGAAAGCCCATAACAGTGGCAGGAGCAAGCTGCTCCAGGGTGCTTGACAAAACATTAGAAGTGCCAAACCACCACATAAGAAGGAAAAGAATTTATTGTATTTATTTTTAAATCAAGATTTTCTAAGTTTTCTCCTTCCATTCTGACTTAAGAGCACTGGCCACACAGTAGCACCTCCACCAGCATCCAACGACAACAGTGCTGGGCAAGAAGGACTCAGCAGTGAAGGATGGATTGTGTGGTACCGTACATATGCCAGTAGCTGGCATATCAACAATTATTAGGGAACAGGTTTGTAAGAAAGAGGTTGAAGGCAGAATGCTGGAATTATTCAAATTAATCTTTTCACAGATATTTAGATACACTAACAAAAAAGAACCTACAGCAGTGTTTTCTCTGTAAACACAGACATGAAAGCAAGAGTACAAGCCAGCTTTTGGGTGAAGATCTTGTGTCCAAGTTCTATGATATCTAAACTTGGCAGGAAGACAACTTCAGACTAAAGGCTGAGGCTGTGCATGCAACTGCAGAATTCTTTAACGGGGCCTGGTATTTGTGTACAGGAAAAAAAGCACCAGAAAGCATTTAAAAAAAAAATAAAAGGAAATTGGAATAATTTATGTTTATCGTCAATGTATTTTTTGGCCTGAATTGAAGTATAAACCAGAAATTCATGTGGATTAAAAATCTTACTTCTTTTTTTTAATGAATCACTAAGAAGTGAATATTTTCTATATCCTGAAATACACACATTTTTTAACTGAAAGTAGTTTAATTAAGTGGTGTTGACTGCTGCCATTGAACTTTTGCAGCTTCAGTAAGTAGATATCCGTATGCCAGCAGGTACAATTCTTCAGAGAGCACATCTTTCTCTCAGAGCCAAAACTGAGATGAAAGTAGCACACATTCTGCTCTTGTCTTACCCCTGTTCCAACAAGCAAGCTACACTGTTTCTGTGCTTCAGAAAATCAAGAATAAAACACAAAGAGATAGTTCCCATATCCATCTGTTCACAGTCTACAGCAAGGATAAATTTATATAATGAAATTAAGTCTACATTGTCAATCATTACAATGAAGAATGAATAACAGTTTACCTTAAGATCACGATGAACTATGCACTTCTGATGACAGTACTGCACTGCAGATACAATCTGAAACACCAAGACAATCAGAGAAATATTTTAGCTTAAATTCAATATAAATTTTTGCATATTATTTAGTAATTTTAGATCCTGATATGATTCAGAAAAAAAAAGAAAAAAAAAGTTAATACATAAAGCTGTCCTTTTAGAAAACATTCATGTATGTTTCATAAAATCTCAAATACCAAAACTCATCTTCTTATTAAAAAGCGTAATACAAACTCCTCATGCAGGTAACAGATGTGGAGAAGCATCTGTTTTACACACTGATTGCACAATAGCTATAAAGAGAAATCATAATTTTTTTGAAAAATCAGTAGCTGAATGTTCCCCTTCAGATTTTATCATCTGAAATACCAGTAGCATACCTGCACATTTCATCATCAACAGAACAGTTCATTACACATTGTCATATGTATCTTTTTCATTTGCATAACAAAAAGACAAAGTGAAAAAAAGTTAAAAAGTTAAAAGAAGTTTCTTTACATGTTAAGCATACACTGTAACTCCAAATTTTGCTCATCAATCTATCAAACCTTTTCACAAAAACAGTACAAGAAAAAATTAGGATGAAAAGGTTTGTAAATAAGATATAAAATCCTTTTACATAATGTCCCTTGTAGAAAACGATGTGACAAGATACAGCAAGACATATGCAATAATAACACCTCTAGATAGAATGTCTGTTAAACTCCAAAGTATTCATGAAAGGATGAAAACCTCAAGCGAGTCACAATAAAAAATGTGGCCCTTAGGAACATCCACTAAAAAGAATCTAAAGCAGCCTATTACTATTTTTAGATGGTACGTAGGAAGCAGATATTTCTTCCACAGCATTTTTTTCGACTCCAGCTTTAATAAACATTACCACAACGATGAACTTTCTCTTTTTTAAAGCAAAAAAAAAAAAAAAAAAAAAAGTATGCACACACTCAAGTCTATTTGAAAATACCACAGACTCAAAAGATTGAATGTTAGTTTCATACCTGCCTGAATTTTGCACGAGCTTCTTTTTCTTTCATTCTTCCATGTGCAACTAAGTAGTCAAACACTTCTCCTAAACATAAATATGAGAAAACATCAGTCCTATCAACCACAGTTATATTTTTGACTGTAAAGCACAATGAGGCAAAGGTTGAAAACAAACCCTCCCCTTTTCAGAGCAGAGAGAAATAGAAGCAGACAGGAAAAACTGCATTTCACCGCTTGCATTCATTTACTCTTCTAGACATGTAACAGTCAACTAATACAAACATTAAAAACCTTTGTACTAAGACTTCCTCAGTTATCCAGCACAAATCTAAAAAACACTATGAGACAGAACAAAATGACTTGTGATCTTAAAAAACTTATGTTGTATATAAAATATGCTGGGAATCAGAGGACTTCTATGTCAGATCTGTTATGCTCATCTCTAGATACTTCACTCAGGAGTGCATGCACTACTTGCTTTCCTTTCTTCCCAGTTGTTCTCCAAGATAAAGTCGCTAAAATTCTGTCCAGACCTTGATCTTTGCACTCTGTGACAAACAGCCCTTCCTAACTGGCCTTGTGCTGGGTTCCCTTCCCACGTTCAAACAGTTTCGTTCAGTTGATAAGCAGCTTCCCATGCCATGCACTCACTGTCCATTATGCTCTTTATGATCTGCTGGTCCCACTTTTTCTTATTCCTTATTCACATCCCCTGCCTCTCCAAGTGTTTAGCACACATTTTCAAGGTAGAATGAGGACTGGTGCTTGCTTAAATATGGCAGACACTGAGTCAAGTTTTCACCCTGAATTAGCACGAGGTTTTCAGCAGTAAACCTTAGATCAGTAACTACCCTTAAGCACAAATCTAATAGATTACTTTACAGAGCATCATGCAAGCAAGAAAGAGTATGACCTGGGATGTCTACTAGGATGGTTCTGAAGAGTGGACTGGAATAACCCATTAAGCATAAAATCATTAAGTTGTTCCAAGGCACGCAAGTGGCATGGCTTTATGCATTTCAGTTCATCCTTAAAGCAGAATTAAGAATTCACTTACCCCCACTGGCATATTCCATTACCAAATACAATGTCTTTTCAGTTTCAATGACTTCAAATAATTTCACTGGAAGAAAAATGAATAAGAGATTGCAGTGGGGAACAAAAGCACAATGCAAACAAACAAAAAAAACCCAACCAAATCCTTATTCACAAAGTGAGTATTATTTATTGCCAATGTACACTGCAAGGAAATCGTATCTCCTTCAGGTTAGCACTCTTTTGAGGGTGGGGGAGAAAGCAAAATTACTTTCAGGGTTGATAATAAAGCACATTAATTCAGTTTCCTCAGAAGTTTATGCATACTATACAAACAGGCTCATGCTAGAATTAGTGTTTAATTTGACAGACTTCCTTCCCTGTTTCACCAGTAAATTGTTCTCTGTTAGAAAACTGACACGCTGACCAACTAAAAACTGAATAGCTACCAGAACTGTTAAGTCTGACAGACTTCCCTCAGATAAAAACAGCCATCACACATTTAAAACAAACACATCACCACCACAGCTCCTCCCTCTCCCCTCCCCCCAAAAAAAAACAAAAACAAAAACCAGCAGATGCTAAGAATGTTGGAAAAGCAACAAACGATTCAAGGGATGAAAAGGGAGTGCCTAGCATGTAGTAACTTGTATGCCTTGTCCATACCTTGTATGCAACAAGCCCTCTGGCCGATTCAGGAACATTAAGTGTCTCTGGAACAAGACTGTCCAGCCCTCCTCAGCCAGAAGAATTGTCATCACAAAGTAGGGCCCTGAAGCTGTGGGGTAGGTGAAAGAACTAAAGCAGAAAGGGAAAATTACATGCTTGGCAAGTCTAATTTTCTGGAAATACTAGGTGGCAGGAGTCTTTCCTAGACTGAAACAATGGAGTTTTGCTCATTTCACCTAAGAAACTAGAAATTCCAGTGTAAAGAGGGAAATTTGGTCCCTTGGCTGACCAGAGTGCTCAATGTCGATGTTTTTCAGGACTACACATTTTATCTCCTCATGTCAATAATCTCGTTTCAAGCAGGGTCAATAAAGTGAGACAGAAATGTATTTGCCCAATGCCTACTGTCCTGTTATCTCAGAAGTTTAAGGAACAAAAGCTTAACAGTGAAGAACATTTAGAATAAAACCCAGAGAGTAAACAGTATAATAAAAAGAAAGTAGTTTGCAGAAATGGAGGACTCCTACCAATATTGGGATGATTCAGTATCTTCATTATTCGTACTTCTCGAAACAACTGTTGGGAAGTAAGAACACATTCTTAGAGTATGTAACTTCAGATAGTATACATAAAAAATAGCCCAGTGAACTCCAGTGAATGAAACCCACACCTTGAATATTATCTAATGTAATAATCAACAATTTAACAGTAAGAGCATAAATTACGACCAGGCATTTACAAAAAAAGGCACCCATTTTCAAGCTTTATAAGAATACAAAACAAACTAATTTTATAGCTCCTTCTGCAATACCAACTTTTAGGGTTTCCTCTGACCAAAAAGAATGGAATATTTTCATAGAAAATATTCATAGAATGGCCTAGGTTGAAAAGGACCTCAAAGCTCATCAAGTTTCAATCCCCCTGATATGTGCAGGGTCACCAATCACCACACCAGGCTGCCCAGGGCCACATCCAGCCTGGCCTTGAATGCCTCCAGGGATGGGGCATCCACAATCTCTCTAAGCAAACACAAGCAGTTGTTATCCCTCTGTGAGCTGACTGCTTTGTTGCTTGCAAGCTCTGTTAACTATCTTTAACTACCTCTAAGTAAGAGGGCACATGTAAGGTGTACTATCACAAAACAAAACAAAACAAACAAAAAAATCTTAAGACAGTGTTAAAACAGAATCAGAGACCAGGAATCCTGACATTCCAGACTTCATGCTCCACAGAGGTGAAGTGTAAAAGTTCCCTTTTCTCACAGATGGGTCACTGATCACAATGTCCTTTCTCCTTCCCATTAAGGCTGGAAGGTTTATTACTGAAGTCTGCTTGATGATCCTGAGTCAAGTAATCAAAAACAAACTTGCACCTAAGCATACATCTAAGACAAAAACGTTCTTTTTTAGTTCTTGTTGTTTAAACCAGGAAGAAGACAGAGTTTTAAGAGGTCTTTGCTCTTGCATTTCAAGCATTTTTGGTTTTACCAATTAAATAAGAGATGTTGCAAGACTGACCTAGGGGCTGAAAGGAAGAAGACAAACAGAAGAAACCTAAAGGGACTACACAGTTTTCTTTAGCAGTATTTACAGCTTTTAGAACCATGTAAGTTGCACTGCTTTACTTCACTGAGCAGCGTATCCCCACTCTCCAATCTATTCACTGTGCTACACACACTCCAGTCCCAGTAGGTCACTGAAATGCAGGGAAAAGCTCACTGTCTTCATTCAGGACAGCGTTTAACTATTTTGGAAACATTCACTGCAGCCCTCCTTGCATAAAAATCTGGCTCAATGATTGTGTCTGTTTTGCTCATCTGATGTCTCAGAGGACATCTCACCATTTTCAAAATTAGTCTTGATGCAAAAGGCTACAAAAAGCACAATGATGCAAGCTGGAGACTGAACACCTCCTGAAAGAGTGGAGTAGCACTTCAGTTAATATCTGATGCTTGAGACAACACAAATATTTCTCTGGGAAAACATGAGCAACACCCTGCAGCTCATTCGTGTTCAGAATGGAACACATGGGTGCGTAACACTGCGCACCAGAATGAACTTTTGCAAAATTTTCTTGTTTGTTCACAAAGCCAGTTCAAAACCATCACACCAAGCTGTAAACTAATTCATCAGAAGCTAACAAATCAAAACCAGTGGACTGCATCATAGGACTGCTTGAGAAAAGCCACTTAGCAGATATATGTGCAAAACTGCTATTCCCGCCAGAAGATCGGAATGGAACTTCATAACTTAACCGTATTAACATTAGTATAAAAGTTATGAACAGGTCTTCAGAAGCAGTATTGCATATTAGATTTCTATAAACAATTTCAGATTTAGAAAAAACACTATAAAGGAACACAATTTTACACGTAACATGAAGCACACCACTGTCAAAATACACGTGCGTTATTCTTTTCAATATTCTCAAAGGATTTGGAAGTTTACTAATTGGTTTAAGATTCAAAATTGTCTTCCTAGCAACAAGAACTTTCATTCTATGTTTGTAATTTTTCTGCCAGGTATGAAATGGACATAAAAGTAAGTTCTGTATTAAGGACAATAGAGCTGACCACTAGCCTCATGCACATACTTTGTTCTATGAAACATTTCCTTGCTCGGGCTCTGAACAGAACACATCATTATGATCCGAGGTTGGGGCATAGGTTTATTCCATATAAATGCCAATAGATTTCCCCAGCCCACCCCCAACATCTCATATTACAAATCCTCTTGAATAGAAATTTTTCCAAAAACTGAAGCATATGTTCTCACGTCAAAGCAGATACAGAGTGCTAGTAGTAATCAAGAATACATGAAAAGGTATTAACTGCCTCAACCTTTTACAAGTCTCAACCTTTTAAAAGAACCACATCAACTCACAGAGGTGAAATAGGATATTTTCTTCTTGGAGAGCAGTTCTGAGGTGCTTGATGGCAGAGATGGCAATTCTGTGATGCTGGTGTTTTGTTTTGTTCGCTTGTTTTGGGGGGTTGTTTTGTTTGTTGTTTACTCCAAAGTACTTATCCTGCAGGTTGAAATTTGCATGTATGCTTAAAGCAGGAACTGGGCAAGGCTGAAGCAGCAGAAATTATCTTGGGTGATACTCATCCACACAGATTACATCAGGCAGAAGCTGAATGGAAACTTGCTATTTTAGTGGGATGGTGTCTGCCTCTCTACAAATGCAGGTAGCACCAGAATATTGCTCACTCAAAAGATGAAAGCACTCTGTTTTCCCTTTCCCCTGCCTACCACAAATTTCTAAGACTGGTCTTCAGTCCTAAATGCATTCCCATTCAGAAAGTTCTCAAACAAGCATTTTATTTTGCAAATGGGTAATAGTCTCTATAGCTTCACTTACAGTACAGGACAGCAAACTCCATACTCAATTTGCAGAGCTTGTACCTGTGAAAAAGGCAGAAGGCCTGAAAATTCAATTCCTGCTTTTGCAGTTTCATTTTTTAGCGCGCACATTGCAGAAAATGAAGAGATCTGCTTGCTGTCAGGTTGACATCTACAATCAGGATTGACTGTTTTAAGTCCCTGAAAATCAAACTAAAAATCTTAGCAAGTCAACCTAGTTTCTAAATCAGTATGAGAAGGGACACTAAAAAATAAAACAAAGAGAAAATAGCTACAAACAGATAACGCATAGAAGATGTGGAAAAATTTCAATCACATGTTTTTGTTGTATTATGAAGAAAGTCAAAAGAAGCTAAATTGTGGCCTAAGATATGGTTAACAAGTACAAGGCCCAGTGAACTGCTGAAATGGGGAAACCTGAAAGTGTCACTTACTAATGAAGCCTACTCAGAACAAAAGCACCTTCTGCTCTCCAAGTGTTTTTACGTAGGAGGACCAGAATGCTATTTCAAAAACATCACCAGCAAAGCCAATACAAGAAGATGCTTTCATGTAACTGACACACAGAAAATAGAACAGGTATTGACATAAATTCAAGTTATTATGAAACCCAAATGCTTACATTTGGGAAAATGTTACTATCATGACAGTGGAAAAAGCCAGGTCAGAACAATGCACTATTATCTGGACAAAAGTCCACAATAAAAGCCAGTTTTGTCTCTTACGCAGGTGCTCACAGAACGAGAACCACACAGTGAAAAATTAGAAAGGCAAACAATTCTTAATTCAGTGCTGCTGACCTATTTAAATAGAGGTCCTGAAGCAAGAAGAATATTAGAACTTAAGACAACTTACCACATTGCATGCCAGTGAGCCCAATGCCAGGAAAATTCACAAGGACAGCTTATTTCTGTCATTACTTAACACCTGATGTTTTTATTTGACTATACCTGCAAAATTGCTTGGCCATTCAACACGGCACAAATTGCGGCTAAGGTCAACCTAAACTTTCATTGCTTGCATGACACTAGCAGCAACTGAGTACACGCTCAAATATTTGCTTACAAGTTGGAAGAGCACATGTGAAACGAGGATGCTTCAGCTCATTCTACCCAATTAGGTCTGCAGCAAGTACTAAAGCAAAGCCTAATTGCCCTTTGTATCCTTTATGTGGCAGTAACAGAGAAGGCACAGAGCTCATTCACAAAATCCAAGATCACTACACTTCTGTCATGTCTGATTAATAACACACATCCCAAAGTTGTACTGAAGGCTACACGTTTTGCTGACCTGCACACAACTTACTGCTTCCATTAAGTGACAGTATTCTCAGCTATGCTGCTTCTGATGAGCTCAAACTCAGGACTGGCATTTCTGTGGTAGTAACTTGCTTTAGCATTCTGCTATAAACACTCACTAGAAAAGTATCTGTTCCTATTTAAATCATGGTACTATCACCATTCCCCACTTCCAGTGTTACATCTTAAAGAAAAGTTGACTGCTTAACAGTCCTACACACAACTTCAATGGATAAAATAATAAAAATTCTGGTCACGCTGAGATTCAATAAAACATAAGGAACCAAATGTTTCTATTTTTCTTTCTGTACTTAACATTATAACAGATGACAGTGAAACTAGGAGATTCCACAGAACAACTTCTACATATTTTTATTATTTGTAATGCAGATGACATCAAATACTAACAGTAATTCTAACCCCAATTATTTGCATGAATTATAACTCATTTATCAATAAAGCAATTACTGATGTAATAAAACTTTCTGGAAAACATAAGCGTGAAGTCTCTAAAGCTACAAAAATACACAGAAATTAGGGAGTTAAAATAAATAAGACCTAGACTGTTAAAAGCTTACCAAACAGAAACCAAGAACTTTTTAAATAATTAGAAGTAAAGTAAAAAGATTAAAGCAAGCCAAGCAGCATCACATCTAATCAATGGCTTCTTTTTTCTTCCTCTGACAGTACACTTCAATCTACGCAGATGTTTAAAAGACATTGTTTTTAAAAGAGCATCTAAACCTTCCTTTCAGTGAGAAAAAATCTTTCATTTTCCCTATCCTAATATACACACAGAGCTCAAAAGTAGTTAAACTCTATTGTATGCCATAATCCACAGACTGAAGCATTTCTTATCTCATAACCTAACAGTGCTTACAGCACAAAGTTCACTGAACACTCATTCATCCTGTTTTTGTTGCAATTTTTGCCTTGTAAGTGAAAGAGAACGTATCAATTTGAAAATCAGAAATCCAATACTTTTGAAGGATATGTTGATTATTTCCACAAAAAATACTCCACATTTATGACAGAAACATACTGAGCTTTACATCTCCACCAACAGCTTCGCATTAATTTGTCCCAAACTGTCACTTCAAGACTAAAGAAAAAAAAAGTGTTTTCTGTAGATTTGGATGTTAATTTCTGTTTTCTTGTAAAGCAGCGTAGAAAATGGAACAATTCATTTGGAGATTGGAACTAAAAGGCCACTCGATTGAAACACACTGGCAAAACACATCTTTCAACTCCTTATTGCTCAGTCCTGCTCATCTAACTGTCCCAGTGTAATTACCAAGCTAGGTAGGAAAGCAGCTACATGAACAAGCTACATGAGCAGGATAAGATTTCCTCCATATACTCTGTCAAGTACTGCTTTGATGGGTTCCTCCTCACCAACTTGCAAAGAGATTTTCTTCATACAGGACAGGCCTTAAGGACAGCAACGCTTTCGCATGGACTCTGCTCAACAGATGGAACTAAAGAAAATCCTCAAGAATTTATGCACAACAAAAATACCACAGAGCAGAAATTAAACAAATAAAAGAGCTGAAAGAAATTAAAGCTAAGTTATTCACAACTGTCTACGTACAAAGTTACACAAAAAGACCCAAAAACAACGACAGCCAGAAATAAAGGAACAGCAATAAGTCTCAGCTTCTTTCTCATTCTACAGTTACAACAGCAGTCAAGTATCTATAAACAAAAAAACACCCTTTTTCTTTTTAATGGGTAACCTCCAGTAGGACGAAACCTTTCTGTGCTTTATTCAAAACACAAATATATGCAAGTTAAATGGCACAAATAAACAGAAGACAAAGAACAAGATAAAAAACAAAAACAATTTATTAAAAAACTTATTACAGCATGACAGTGCCTACAGAGGGCTTCTAAATGTCTATCTGCAGGTACTGACAGTGCAACAAACCAACCAGAATGTTCCAATTACCTCCACTCAATTCTGTACACAAAAGTAATTGCCAAGGGTCACTTGAGTTTAACAAATGTTTTATTGAAGTTGCAAGAACAAAAGTAAAAAAGAAAACATTAAAGCCATAGAAACTGGCCCTCTCACAACTCCACAAAAAAACAATTACTCCATTAAAGAAAAATCCAAGAAAAACACTGTCCTTTATAGCATTTAATCTTGATTTAGTGTGTAGACAAGTTATTTGTGTAACTAATTAGACACACATTTTATTGTCAGCAAAAACTGAGGCCATAGGAAGAAGGAAGAGCAAAGAAGTAGTGCTTAGTTAGGAACTGTATAGAGTAACTGCTAGCAAACAAATTGCACATGCACATTGCAGTGAAGGCTGTAGGATACCAGTGTCTCCAGAGGTCACACATACACAGAGATGTTTATTTAACCAGATAAAAAGACCAAATATTTTTGCAAAGGAAATAAAAGGTCAAAGTTCAACTGATTATAGTTTCAGATACCACGATAGGCTCTTACCTTTTGCAGACTAGTAGGATTTAGCTGGGTTTTATCTATTATTTTCACAGCAACCTTGGGGAAGGAAAAAAAAAAAAAGAAATTCAGATTAAACTCGGAGAAATGTGTGAATGACAATATATTGCATATCTGTGAGCAACAGCATACATGTGCCTTTAAGACATGCATATGTATGCTTTTACGCATTTCAGCAGGCAAAATTTTTCAACAATCAGACTCTACAAGCAGGAGTTCAGGGCTTTGCCACTGGATCATACCACAGTAGAATCATTTTACACTTCTGTCAGTATTTGGACAGAACAGTGTTATCCTGTTTGCTGGAAAACCACCTCTCCCAAGTACCAAAACATACTCTACCAGTAAGGTTTTCTCTGGTTTGGGGAAACGAGAGGATGAACGGAGCTCCTCTCAAAAAACCCAAAATACCCTTTGGTGGGCAACAAACTTCCTGACCTTTTTCCCAACCACTCATACAAAAGAGAGGCTCTTTTATTGAGAAGAGAAAGGTAAAAGGAAAGTGGAGATACTCATTATAAAGATAGCCAAAGAGTACATGAAATATCGTGACAGCTTTTTTTTTTGGTGGTTTTTTGTTTTTTTTTTTTTGAAAAGCCTTACCTCCCTTCCAGTAAGAACATGTCTTGCCAGCTTCACTTTGGCAAAATTTCCTTTTCCTATTGTTTTCAGTAAGCGATAATTTCCAATGTGAGGATGCTCCTCATTTGTAGATGTAATTGAGTTCCTACATCGGGGGATGTTCTGTCTGCTACCGGACTTGATAGGCTGGACGTGGGGTTCAGTGTATCCATCCACAGAGGTATGCTGGAAGAAGATAAAGCACTTGAGAATTTACCTACTTGGATTTCAGACTGTTGCAGTTAAATAAATGAAAAGCCAAAAAAAAAAGCGTGGAGGAGAAGGAAAGAATTTATTTTTTGCAAGTATGTCTGATACCCAGACTGTAGCCTAAGCAGAGCACACTGTTTTTGTATACAGTTTGATGCATGACTCAAGAAAAAGGTCTGAAGAAAGATTTTTACCAACTCCCAAAGTAAAACTAGAGACACACAAGCAGGGACCAATAAGCCATTACAGACCTCCTCTAATACAAAACCAGGTCAAACTATAAACCGTGTTTCTAATACACAATCTCAACCAAATTTAGTCTTTAAAAAAAACACAGTACATTTTTTTTTTTTGGCACATGTGATAAAGTGTTGCTCAATTTTTTTCCCCCAACTCCCTTCATCTCAAGTAACGTTACAATGAAATTGTATTTCTTACATAAGATGTGTTCCCCAAACATGCTTGCATCTTTCTGTAAGCCACAGAAGTTCTTGGAGTAGTAATGAAGTAATGAACAACCTACATCTTTAGTTAAAAAGTCAGGAGAAAGAAAAATACCATGAGGGCTCATAACTATACTTCAAACCTCAAAAAGCCCTAATAAGAACAAGAATGCAATTTTTAATACAAGTCTGTACATTAACTCATGTTAAACGTAACTAAAACTTGCAGAGCTTCTGTACTACCCACTTTCCCAGCACATAATGGGCAAGACACGTGAAAGACATGAACCTGGGGGTGCTGATCAACACTAGGCCAAACATGAGCCAGCAGTGTGCCCAGGTGGCCAAGAAGGTCAGTAGCATCCTGGCTTGTATCAGAAATAGCGTCGCCAGCAGGAGCAGGGAGGTGACATTCCTCTGTACTCAGATCTGGTGAGGCTGCATCTTGAGTGCCGTGTTCAGTTCTGGATCCCCCACTAGAAGGAAGGCAACGAGGCCCTGGAGCATGTTCATGGAAGGGCAAGAAAGCTGGTGAGGGGTCTGCAGCACAAGTCTTATGGGGAGCTGCTGAGGGAGCTGGGAGAGGTCTGGAGAAGAGGAGGCTCAGGGGGAGACCTTATCCATCTCTACAACTGCCAGATACGAGGACATGGTGAGATGGGGGTCAGCCTCTTCTCCTGGATAACTGGGGATAGGACTAGAGGGAATGGCCCTAAGCTGTACCAGGGGAGATTCAGGCTGGATGTTAGGAAAAATTTCTTCTCGAGTGGTCAGGCACTGGAATGGGCTGCTGAGACAGGTGGTGCAGTCATCATCCCTGGAAGCGTTCAAGAAACGTTTGGATGTCACACTGAGGGATATGGTTCAGTGGGAAATACTGGTGGTAGGTGATGGTTGGACTAGATGATCTTAGAGCTCTTTTCCAACCTTGGTGATTCTGATTCAAAGATACAAATGGGTCTCGGAAACATTCCAAACAGAAACCAAAGTACTAGAAGATGTCAAAAAGAGGTTCAGTGTTTCTGTATTTCAAGTATTCTTGTATCAGAGGTAAATTAAATGATCTTAGAGGTCTTTTCCCACCTTGGTGATTCTACGACTTATAAAACATTTTACACGTAAAATTTAGCCTTTCATCTTTTCTGTTACAGATTTTAAGGCAGGCAAATGCTGTAGGTAGAAACAGTAAGTGCTTAAATTTTGTAGCAGAACGGCACAACTACTCATCCCAGGTCTCTGAGCTCCTCGTATGCGTCAATCACAAACAAAACTTGAGACACCGTAGTATTTGTTTCTTTATTCATTGCTTCACTCAAGAAGTGGCTATCTTGGTACCTTGGTACACAGCACTGTGCCTGTTTACAGACCAAAGGTTTCTGGATCTTTCACCTTCAACTGAAGAGAAGAGCCAGAAAGCAGCACTAAGTTGTCCTGTAAGCTCTCCCACCCAGTCATTTGCAAGGCAAGTCTTTATTTTCTTGTACAAGATAGAATTTGAGGTGATGCTTCCAACTTTAGCATGTGGTTATTACAGACTGATGTCAGCCTGCTCCTGTAAACAGCAAGTTATTTCAGTCCATGAGCGCCAGTAGAACTTGGAAAACTAGCAAACAGCTGCAATGAAACTGGGAAAAAAACAAGGAGTACACCACAGCCAAAATGTACCTACCAAATGTAGCACAGCTCTCTTTACATCACCTCTATCATTATTCATCACAGCCAGGACAACAGTCCTAAATATAATTTTCTGTTCAGCTTTTCATTATCTGAACATCTCTGCAAAACACTACTTTACCCCCACTGCTTAATTTAGAGCCAGGATATTTTCCAAATTATTTCAGAACCAAGCAAGTCAGGCATATTAAGATTCTGTATATCAGTTAAATTTATTCAGCCGTAAAACACCACACTAGCAATAGTATTTATTCTTCAGAAGTGCATAATTAAATACTTTGTGGACTCAGAGGATCAGAAGGACAGCCCCAGGCTAACAGGCTGTGAAACATTCCTTCAACATAGGCAACATAGGACTCCAGTCTTGCATGTGATAGACAGAGCGCAGATGAATCTTATTTAAGAAAGCATCCTGCAAGTCATTATTTGTATAGCACTGACCAAGAATATTCCAGTCAGACCTCAAACCCCATCCAGAGCTCCAGCACTATTATACAAACCAGTTTTAAGTCTCTGAGCTTATTTATGCACACAATTAAACCTTGTCGTGAAATAGGATGCCTACCAGAAGCATTAGCAATCCTAATATTAATTGCAAATTTCATACACATCATAGGATTAGCCTCCTTCCAGTAGGTACTTGAAAGGATCTTTTAGATAAGCGTTTGGATGGGCAACAAAACCAATGCCACTGGCAATGGGAAAGAGCGTCGCTCAAGAGATCATTTTCATGCAGATTTAAGAGGGAAATCAGTTATCAGACGAGATAACACGGAACTTATCTGAAGAGGAAAAAAAGCACATGAGGTTCATGGTCATAACTCTGGATTTTGGTCTGTGACAGAAAATGTCCCTTTCTAGTTTCATAACTCTTCCCCCGTAGACAGCTTATCTTCTTAGTAAAGCCTTCTCCACAGCTATGGCTCAGGATGTCAGAATACACGCATAAAAAAGGTTAAGTTTCTTAGCCTGTGAGCCACGTGCATACAATTTCTGAATGAGCAGTGAATATATTTCTAATTACTTTTCTGAAGTTTTGAAATAAACCTCTTTCACACAAACAGCTCGCTGTTGTTGGGGAACATAGAGGAATTTACAGACGAAACTAATCAGCTTCTGTAAATCAGTATTCAATGAAATGCAAACATGTCAAAATTGAGACATCAAACAGACAACAAAAACCAAAACCCACAACAAAACTTAGATCACATAATAGCATATCAGAGATTTCTTCCAAACAACATTAAAGCTGAATTCAACAGAATGATACAATTTCCACAGAGTAGTTTTAAGACATTTCTGGTCCATTACAATACATTCATTCATTATGCATCAGCTACTGTGAGGCTATTTTAAAATGCCATTTCAGAACAACCACCTCTAAACTCTGAGAAATTTGTCAGAATGCTGTAAACAAGTGGGCTGTTAATGAAAAATAATCATCCCTACCATCTAATAACAGTTCTAGCTAACAACCTGCAATTCCTAGAGAGGGTTTTTTAGTAAAGGATTCTGATATTTCTCTAGATATCTTAAATTTACCTTGACATCTATGTAATGGGAAATAGCTGTCACGGTAGATACAAAGCCTGTGCTTCTCTATTGCACTTATTCAGCATCCTTCCATTGTTTAGCTACCACTATTATATATTCCCACTGACTGCTTTAATGAAACTTGCATCATCAAATACAATACCCATTCTTATTATCTTAAGAAGTCCCCAGAACTATTCTGGCCACCAAACCACATTCTCTTTCAATTAAACACGTAAGGCCTTGACAGCCTTTGGAGCTGCACCTAACTTCCACACATCAATACGCCTATCTGCATACCTCATCAGATTAAGCAAACTTCTTAGTCCTGAATTTTCCTCTTCTTGAATTACCCAAGTCAAATTCCTCAGTGCAGTCACCCACAGAACTGAAGAAAGAACACACAGTGCTAGATAAGGCACAGCATCACGTTTCTGCTCTCAATATTATCTCCTGCTCTGAACTTCACTTTCTTGCAGCCAATTTTCATGTTCATTACCCCTTTCAAGGCACTTTTAAGCATGTGTCACACATACAAGCATTTGTAACAGCAGTCATATTTTGCAAGATTATCCAAATAACCAGTGCAGAGAGAGGACTCTACATGCCTCAGAAACTTTCTTCTCTATAGCTCTGACTTGTAACAGCTTTGATGCACAATACAGGGGCATGGACAAAAAGAAGAGAAGGATGAGATGTCATGTCCTGGACATCTGCTTGTTTTTGTACTTTAACTGCTTGCTATCTGTAACTACTGATTCGTTCCCTAAGAGATTCTCACAAAACACCTCTTTTCCCTTTCACTTAATTAACAACCAAACCAAAGTAGACGAGTTGAATTTTTTTTTTTTTAAGTTATGGCAAACCTCAGCATGAAACCAACACAGATGTTCAGATGTGCTTCTTCAGCATCTTCCGTGGAGAGCTTCAGGTACAGTGGGAGGTGTGGTGCAACTCCAAGCTGCAGGTGACAGCATCTGATCTCTCAGCTACTGCCAGAGGAGGACTCACTGTTATTCCAGGTAAACCTCATACCTGCACAAAACCACTGCTTACTCTTGCCACAAGCACCCATCATGCCATACCAGAATTCCTAAAGCACTTCTGATCTTCATCAAAAGCTTATCAGAGCACAATCCACTCTAATGTTCCATGTAGTACACAAAAGAAAGTACTCTGAAAGGGATAATTAAAAAGACAAAAATGTACATGTATGCGCAGAATTCTTTTCTTAATCCCTTATCAGCAGCTAAACTAGACTATGAATGCATGACAGGAACTTTGTTACTAAAAGAAATGAAACAATCACCTTATTCCACTGAAACA